CTTGGCTCTGTTCCCTTAATTAAATATCAATTTTCATCTAAATTAATTAAAAGAATACTGTTACATGTTTACGCATTGTCGTATATCTTCTCTTCCAGCCTGCATTTCCTGTCATTCCTTAAGTCAATATATCCTTTCGATTTAGCATACGCCGCGCAATACATAATTAATTCGGAATTTACAATTACCCTTATCTGCCTTCCGTGTAATCCAATACGGAGGGAATCGTTGATCGATCGGCGGTGATGATTCCCTTTCTAAGTTATAGTCAGTTATAGTCAGTAAGTTATAGTCTGCGGGACTGTAACCCGGTGATTTCAACGCTCGCGTGGAGGAGACATAGAAAACGATACGTCCCGGTAATTAGACGAAAGAAAACGTTCGGCACCAACGCGACTTTTGTTTCCTCCCGGCGGCCGTTCGAGCAGCAGACCTTCGAAACACCGCAGGAAGAAATATTTCAGGCGACTCTCCGCGCTCCCCGATCGAGATAACGAACGGTGGGCTTTTTAAATAACTCCCGGTGTATTGCTTGTCGGACGAGGACGCGCCCATCGATCCTGCTCCTCGTTTCGATGTCGATCTGCCATTACGGAGTCCTTCCTTAGAAGCTTTTGTCCTTGCCGGACCTTTGCCCTATCGCCGTCTCGCGTCCGCTGGAAGCAATTAGCGTGCTTGCACTAACCGCTGAATAACGTGGAAACGTTAAGCCTAATACGCAGTTTCAATGGTTTCAAGTTTTCTCAACGATGAGATCGACTCAGATTGCAAACGTACCTGAAAACCTCTCGGATCTTGATAACGAAATCAGTTACCTTTTGCCGTTTAGCTTCGCTGAGTGCACGGTACCATAACTCGCTTCAAATTCTATGGAATAAACCGGAAACGCCGATCGATTCCGCAATACGTTTCAAATTGGTCTCTACGAACATTGAAAACCGTTGAGTTTCGTATGCGTGTTAAATTTCCGAAATTTCCGATCTAATCGACTAATTCCTAAAAGAATTCGGCAGAATAACGCGTTTCCTATGCGTGTCGTTTAGCCGTCGTCGCCGAGTCCGGCGGAATTTCGCGCCCAGCCATAATTCAAAATTGGATACATCGAGGCGCGTTAATGGTGAACCGGTGTACAGTTACGCGACGGGCGTGTTGCCTTTTATTTTTGTTTTTCGTTCGGTTCGTGGGCCGCGGGCGGGACCGGCAGCGCGAAGGGAGAAGGAAAACGGACGACGGGGATGCATTTCGTTGACGTTGTTCGCATCGTTGCCCTCAATTTTTCAAAATGTCACGCCCGTTATCTGAGCTGTCATGACGGCATCGGTCCGCGCGCAAACATCCCGGCAAGGTGTATAACGGAGGCTCGCATCTCGCTGGCGCTGTTGTCACTATTGTCGACCGGTCTCGATCTGTCCGAACAGGAAACGAAAAAAATGTACACGTACATACAGGTGTGTAGAGAAAAATATATATAACAGAACTAAAAAGTACCTTTAAAATGTCAAAAAATTGCAACAAAAAAAAGAAAGAAACAGAGAAGGTGCACCGAGAGACGGAAATGCGAAAAACGCTGCGGACGGAAGACTGAAAGCGTCGCGTCGCGCCGTGTATACACGAGGACTATTACGCAATCACGATATCTCGGCCCGCAGAGACAATTATGCATCCGCGACATCGAATAAAAGCGTCGAGTTTCCACGCGACTCATCTGAATTTTAAAAGGAATCGACGCGTTCCGAGGGATTCCGTGCAGACGTCCGAGGTGAAAAATCGAACATTTTCGAGCGGTCTAATATCTCGCGAGGCATTCGAAGGTGCGCCGGTCGGTCGCGATGCAATCCGCCTCGATACGTAAACAGACGCGTCCACGAGGAAGATTCCAGAGAATATTGAACCCAACGGGTTCGCGATTACCAAGCTGCAACGGGAAAATCATCTTTTTATGTAACACCGTTTTAATTCCTCGCTGCATTAAGCGTGAATTCTAAAAGGCGCGCTCGTACACGCGGTTCGTAACGATCGTCGGGAAAAGAATATAGATTGCGTTTTTCACGGGCGAAATCCATTATCGCGGACATTTCTCGAATTCCTTGACGAGAGGATGAGCACGAATTTGTTAATCGTAAATTATCCGCTAATTGATGTTTTATTATTTTATAGTTTCAATTTCACGCGTTTGATGGTTACTTATTAACACCTCGATGATCGGCGTGACGCCGTTGTTCCCAGGTCTATCGCTTCGGATTCACTCGTTTATGTTTATTATTGTGTTCCTAATCGAATGAATTTCTGAATATTAAAACGAATCGGATAGTATATATATATATACTCGACAATGAACGTAAATGAATATTGTACGAAACAACGACACGGTAAATAGTTCACGAGCAACGAACGAACTCGAGAGTTTTCCGAGATTCGACGATTATTTTTGGACCGGTCGATGAGTAGCTTTCCTCGGCGAGGCGAGCAAATTTGCCGGTTTCGTGTCTCAGGTTCAATGATACGCGAGACAATTTCCTACCCGTCCGGTCCGAAACCACTTTGCACGACTCCAGAAACAAAACGACCGGTCTGTAAATGAGTTATTACGGGCGGCCATCATTGATCCAGTTACGCTCACTATCATTACACCTGTTGCTACGAGAGCGCGATAATTCAAAGCGTTTCGTGCTGGCGGTCGCTTTTAATAAACGTTTCCTCGCAATTCAAATTACGTCTGCATAAATATAGACTCCCGACAATATTCGAGCAATTACCGATAACGGACGACCAGCTTCCCTTAGAAACTTTCCAAACCGACCATCTCGCATTTCTCGTCCTTCCCGTCGTTCGATTCTCCCGGCATTTTTCTCGGTCCGACTGACAATTGCTCCCTTCTCGCGGTGCCGAGACAATCTCATCGTTCCCTTTTCAGCGTATCATTCGACAATTACAACTCCGCACCTCCCGGAATCCGAGAACTCGCGTTCCCTTCCTTCGAAGATAAAACACGACACCTTGGAAAGAATATTCCCGATCCGCGAGACACTTTCGGCACACCTCGCCGTTCGAAGGCTCGGAATCACCGGCGATAATCGCGGAGTTCCACGGGTTCGAAGCGAAGGCAAGAATAAATATCGTTCGCCGCCTCTTGTTTTTATTGGGTGCACGCGAAGGATTGTTCCTATCGCGTTATTGCCTCCCCGTCCGTTCCCCGTCTGTTTTTCTTCTCTAATTCATTCACCCCGAGCGGATTTACAGATCATCCGATTTTCCTGTTTGAAATTGTTTGATTGCATCCCGGGGGCTTTGAAGCGTTCGCCCGCTCCTTCGGTAATTACGCTTCCAATAATAAAATTCCCGTTAAGAAGGAGGAAAGGTATCGCGGCGAATGAGACGTGAAATAGTCTCGAACGATAACCCTAACACCCGGGGCATTGATTAATCATTTCAATTTTATCGTTTTTCTATACGCCCGTAGCGTGGCGTGGCGTCCATTTGAAATATTACATAAAACTTCGCGCCCGTTCGTTCGTTCGTTCGTTCGTTCGTTCGTTCGTTCGTTCACGCGCGCGCGCGCGAGAGCGCTCGATCGCGGACCGTTCTCTGCCCGCGAGAGACAGCGTATTTATAACTTCTCGCTGGCGAGGACGATATAATAGTAATAACGATATCGAGTGCAAACGTCGGCGTCTCTCGGTCGCTCCCGGGGATCGGTTAAAAGGGGCGACGGCGTGGAATCTAATCCGCCGGGAAATTTACGGACTTCCGTGAAAGCTATATACGGCGGGGGGTGCGCTCGCGCGGGGCATACCGGCCCGGGGGGAGGCTTCTCGAATCAAAAATCGCAATCACGGGACCGCAGGAACCCCGGTGGTGCTCGCCTCGCCGCCAGAAGCTGGCGTGGCTTCA